GGGGGGGGGGTGGGTAACTGAAAGTCTGACCCAAACCTGTATACTACAATAACATTTTAAACCCAGAGTATTCTATCCAAGAAATCACGGATCCTCAGAGCTGATCACAGAGAGCAGGATGAATAAGCAAGTTCCCAAATTCCAAAATATACCCAGGATAACTTTCCAATATGGAAGATTTCCCACAAAAAAATACACGTGCACATAAAACAGGCCATGAATGGGTTTTGGAAGATAGATAACCAGAAGAATGGCGAGGTCCTGGAACAGCCTTCCAATAGGTCTTTTGGCCCCTCTATTCCAAACTACTTTCAAGATGGAGCTTAATAAACTTTATGACAAGAATTGCGGGTGATATGGTCACCTGCATTAGCAAGGAATTGGACTTGCTGATCCAGGAAGCTCTTTGCAGTCCTTTGTTTCTGTCCAAGCCAAAAAAGATGAACTACCATGTTCTAAAAGTCTGGACTTCCCTCCAGATTAAACAAGGTGTTAACTCAGAGCTGACACACAAAGCTGAATGCTGAGTAATAGCTATGGGAAAGAGTGTAGATACCTGAAGTCTTCCAAATTCCTCTGGATCTCTGGAAGGACTTTATCTTGCATAGTTAGGATGTAATGGCGGTGCAGCTCTTCTGGAATGAGTTCTGGCCTTCTCTTTTCTGCAGGTCAGAGAGAGAAAGCAGCATTTCACTTTGGAACGGAGAGTCACTGGGCATTAAAGTAAAAGAAATTTGCAGATACATTCACTCCACTCAGCGTAACCTATAATCTCCTGCTGTCTAACATAAACCAAAGTTCATTAAGCATCAGCAGCTTCAGTTATGTCCAATGCTACACTACGTAAATACAGAACTGAAGGACGCAAACCTCTGCCAGCTGGTGCACATACAAGAACACAGTGTGTTCCCCCCCACACCCACACAACCAGCTTCTTGTCTCCCAAATCTGACACGTAATGGATTTATACACCTCACAGAAATGTAAACAGGCATGTACACATACCCCCCACCATGAAGCCCTTTTGAGAGATTTGCTACAATTGTCTCCAACACCAGGATCCGTGCCAGTGGACACCCGCTGTAAAATGATCTTACCTAGATCTAAAGAAACTTCGTCTGGAACTGGGACCTTCAGGTTCTGCAACCAAAGCAGGCATTAGAAAGTAAGGCCATATACAACGGATTTTCCTAGCACCGCACACATACCCAAGACCTTTAAAGTGCAGGCTGATGAAATCACTTGCAGGAATCCTGAAAGCTGTTTCTTCCCTTTGTCACATGTAGTAGCATTGCTGTTACTTGGGGGTATTTTGGAAGTGTTTCACTTGGTACCATGCTGGCCCCTGCTGCATGGTAGTTAGTGTTGGGGAGTGGGTCTTGGAGGACCCCACTGCAAGGTCCTCACACCGTTACAGACAGACCCAATTCCCAGATCATTAGCAAGAGCTGCACTAATTGTAAGCAACAGGACTGAACTCAAATGCGATTGTCTGAGTGTCCCGGACATTCCAAGCTCGCTGTGCTACCCATCACCTCATCTCGAGCTCAACCCTCCTTCTGATGCGGATTTGGGACAGCCTATGGCTCTGGGATCAGGTGCAGCTTAGGTTCAGAGCTAAGATTTTAAACAACGAACAAGAGCAGAACACAAGATGTTCCTGTGCCCTTACACACACTCAGGGGAGGGATCGTTAAAAAAAAAAAGGAGGCCAGCAGGGGAAACAAACTTGCTTTGAATTGTTTATAAGCTTGCTCTGATTTTTCTGATTTCTGGGCAGCAATGGCTCAGCAGCAGAATCAGGTCAGCCAATGCAATCATTTTGAATCAAAATCCTATTCTATATCAGCCAAAGTAAATCTCAGCCTGACCAACCAGAAACGGTCGGGGGGGGGTCGGACTCGATGATCTGTTGAGGTCTCTTCTGACCCTAGGATCTATGACACTGCCCTTGGAAGCCACCCATTGCAAGCAAGGGCCCTGAGCATTAGGTGAAGCACTAATCAACCTGCACTAATGAGGTCCTCCTGATAAAGAGTGTATCAGCTCTAAACCCCAGCCACAAACAGCAACTCCAGTTTACCTTTCCATAGTGCCTCAGCTTCACTGGGAAGCAGTTATCTCTAGTGTTCAGCAATAAGCAACCAGAGTACGAACAACTGCACAAAACATGCAAAGTCAAGTCCCAGGGGAATTTGACCAGAGACAACATGACAGATGCCTACCAATATAAAAAGGGTCAGGGGGCTTTTTAGTACAGCACAGGCAGGGCCTTTGTATTTAACACAAAGAATAAACCTACCCAAGGAACCTGAAGGGTCAAGTCCACTCTGCCTGAATGTGAAATTTTGGCTCGAGTGTCTGCCTGTCTAAGCCCATTATTTAAATCAATCCAGCATACAAAGGCAAGGAAGGTAAAATCTGCTGCACAGGGGAAAGAAAAGACACGTCTTATTTGGAACCTACCGCAGCTCGGTCCAGGAACAACTGGTTAAACTCAAGGAAGACACGACGAGTCTCTTTGGAGTTGGTCTGTTTGTACAAGTCCGCATAGAGATAGCAGAGCTGGGAAGAAGAGTAGAGTAAAGACAGTGAGAACTCTTCAAATGCGACCTCTGAATTTCTTTCCTGATGTTCAGAAGGGGTATGCCACTCAAAGCTCCTGTTTCTGAGAGGAAGCTCACAATATGGCCATGATGAAGAGATGAGCAAGACTTTTAGCATCCACTTCATCCAACATTTAACTTCATTTGTTCAAATTTCCTGGCATGCAAGAGCACTGAACTCTCACATTCACAGAGCTGCAATTCTCATCACCAAACCAACATTATCAGTGTCACTGCCTGTGTTAAGTTGTGGAAGAAATGACCCAAAAACTCAGTGCTACAAATTTGGGCCACTTGGTCTTACCAAGGCTGCAGGGTCAAACTGGGACACCACGTGATGCAGGAACACAGCTAGGTGAGCCGGGCGAGACTTCAACAGCTCCATGTTTTGGAAACAGCTGCACTGCCCATTAATCTGGAAAGATACAAACAGCTTGTGTCGAGTTGTGGACAAAGGCCTGAAAGAAAACCAGAAGGTTTCTCATTCGCTCACTAAGCCAAGGAGCAGAGTGAGAGCAACTCCAACATCCACAGCCTGTCACTGTTAGCAGGAGGAACTCAGGACCCCCTCCCTGTTCTTTTCAGTACAGTTCTGTGTGTTAAATGCTTTATAATGAAATATAATCCCAGGCAAATGACTACTAAAACCATTAGAATAAATACATTAAAAGCTAGGCTGTAATACTGCTGCAGCTATAATAGAAGCCAACTAATGAGAGGAAATTAAATAAGGCAGATTAATTTCTAGTCAGGTTACAATGACATGCAAGAAGAAAGGGTAATGGAAAGAATGATGCGTTTTAGCACAGACCCTGGAAGTGCCACTTACTGTTACACAAGGTCAGAGTGAATCGTTTCCCCCCATTTTTAAAGTATTCCATTTTTCAGATAAGAACTGCGTGCTAAAAATGTGCCATCAAACATTCGTGATGCAATGAAAGAAGGGATTAGCTGCAGCTGCCCCTGACACCAGAGGTGGGCTTCTGATAGAAAGTGTTGGTCCCAAACCTGCTCGTGTTCAGTGTCAAAGTCATCATCCTCTGCTCCGATGATCTGAGGTGCCATGCGGGAGGAGGGGCTCCCAATACTGGACTGTGAATCCTGCAGTAGGTTGGAAAGGAAACATACGCAGGATGCAGTTACTCACTTGAGAAAGGCTTCTTTTCTCCAGCACCAGTTTCGAGAATGAAAAGGCCTTAATATCCTTGACAGTCACCCGACACTGACCAAAGTCTATTGTCTTTAGTACCCATTTTTCCCCTCCACGGTGAGATACCAGGGCACTGTTGCAACGTTCCCCTCTTAGATATCAATTGCTCTGAAACATCATAACTGAAAGGTTTCACATGAAACTCTGTGGTCTTCTGCTCTCTAAACACGTCACCCTGGGAGGTATTTCTAAGCATGGCAAGCAGGGGGCATGTGCCTAGTAGCTTCTCTCTGCAAACAGAAACATTTGGTTTAAGAGAATGAGGCCATGAGAGTGGATGGGAGAAGGGAAACCCTTCCAACTTGTCCCCAGTGAAACACTGCTGGCTCAGGCAGCACTGCCAAAAGGTTCCTCAGGTCACATCCCAGATGGTCCCAGACCTAACAGTGACTCAGTGCTGCAGGATGAAAAGGTCTTCCTCTGTTTAGGGTAGGGGGACAGGGAATACGACTTACGTGACAGCTCCAGCCGCTGGAGACCCAGGTGTTTTACTGCAGATTAGGTATTTCTGATCCCTTAATGGGCTCACTTTCAAGCTCCATAAACATTTATTAACTAATTAACACATCCTGTGCAACTCTTAATTGCATTTTATTTTTCTAAAGCCAAGTCAATTTATATCCAATTTAGAAAACAGGGAAAACAGCAAGATTTTAATGGGCCCATTAGAGTAGAAGCCACTGTTACGCTTTGTGTGTGTTGAACTCACAGTATCCTGAATTTCGCTCTTCTCTGGGCTCTCATCCAGGTAAACTCGCTCCTTCAGGCCACTCCGAGGACTCTGGGAAAGAGAGAGAGGCAAATCTGATGAGTGTTAGGCCTGGAAAAAAAGGAAATGGTACAACAATGTCCTTGCACTACAATGGACAGAACTGCACATTGGTCCCAGTCAGGCTACTAAAAACCTGGCAGAAACAGGCAAGAAATGCTAAACTCTAAAATCACATGTGCACAGTCTCAGAAGAGAGATCGAGGATGTGATCTAATAATAATGCTGCATTATTACCTAGTGACAGCAAGTCTGGACTTTTTCCACCCCCTCCCGCTGCACATGTTGTGACATGTTGATAATCTGGGAGTGACACCTGGCCCCTCTGCCTCTAATTTTTGAAGCTCCGCCCACAGGCTCTAAATAAGATCAAAAGGAACCAGTGGCAGACCCATCCCACGCCCCCATTAAGAAAATCTTAATTTCCCTGTACTAACCAGATAATGGATTTGTGAAAGATTAGATGCTGAGACAATACAGTGAGGGGACTACATTAGCATACAGATAGCTGATGGGTTTATAAGGAAAGGGCTCTTGATAACTGCTAGCTAATGGCTGAAGTGTATCTAGGAGGAGGGAGGCTTTCCTTCACCCTTATGGAAACCTGCCCTATGACTCGATCCAAGTCATTCTAACCACAAACGGAGAATTAACATGTTCTTGAAGATACTGTATTTTTGCCTCTCAATTCTAACAAATGCTGGCATTCCTCTGGCTTTGCCTGGTAACAGGGAGCATGTCAGAAAAACCCAGCCCCATACAACCTGGTATTCCTCTCCCAGTAGGTCAAGTCCCCTCAGAGCAGCATCTTTGCATCTCCATCAAATCGCTGCACGTGCAACGTAAGTGAGGGAGAGACAACACATGCGGGATGCACAGGGGATAGTGCTGTCAATCTGAAAAGCTACGATGGGAAAAACAAACCTAGGAGGGCAAACATGAAGCTGCAAAGGTCTCCAACACTTACATCAGCAATGTCGCTGTTTGGCCGGAAGCCATCGCCACTTGACTCAATTTTGCTCAGCCCTTCCCCACTCTCCGTCTCAACTTCACTGATCTGCAAAGACTCAGCCACTAATCGGGAGGACAAAACTCCATCCTAAGAAAGAGGAAGCACATTGAGAGACATGCCCAAGCAGCAAACTAGAGTAAGAACTGAACATTAAAAGAGGAAGCAATTTATGATAAGCAGGTTCAACAGCAGACCTGCAAGCACGATCTATAAAATATGCTCCCCAGCTTTAAAAAAAAAAAATTCCTGCAGCATTTTTCTAAGAAGGCTCATGAAGCAAGAGCCCAGTCCTCATAACTAGTCTGAAATGGAAGTCACTGGTGTACAGACAATGGGGGAAAAAAAATCTGTGTTGGTAAACAGCTTTCAATTCAAGTTAAACTTATTCTGAATTGCAAGGACGTTTCTACAGATTTAACTGAAACCAACAGAGGGAAATAAAAGATGTAAAGATCAAATTATTAATACACAATCACAGCTGTTTAATACTCCCTCTTTGGTGCTCAAACATGGGGAAACGTACCATGATTGTGGATTAAAAGTTTGGCACATGCAGCACCTGTAAGACCACCAATTTTTCACCAATCTGTAAACCCCATTTCAAAACAGATTCATTCATAATGTACGCAGGCCTTCTGAGAGCAACTATATCTACAGGTTGCACTCTGCTTCTGCAAACAATCAAGGATGCGTGTGCAACCCAAGATGCTTCTTCCTCAAGCAGCCCGAATACTCCCCTTACCTGAGGAGAGCCTGTGGCTTTGGACAGTTGCTCCTGCAGCTGAGGGATGTGTTTCTTGGCTTCCTGAATCTCCTTGAGCAGTCGTGGGGTGGGTGTTCGGCTGTAATCTTCCTGTAAGGACTGAAAAGTTGTACGGGCATTCAGCAAGCTCTTCCCCAGCTAGGCCTACAGCTGCAGTCACTGACTAATCTTCATTTCACTTTCATGTCTCTGAAACACTAATTTCTATACAGTTTGCTCACAGCATAAATGCCATTAGCTAGACTTAGTGGTATGCCTACCGTTGTGGAAGCTGGATGTCGCACCACCTATGTTTTATATAGCCCTCCTGCCTCTGCTCTGCCAACTAACTACAAGGAAAAAAAATTCCCAATAAGAATCTCTTAGAGCAAGTGCTTAACCAGAGCTAAACCTGGGGTCTAATTCTAAGGGGTGCCTAGCAGCAGTGAGGGAGGCTCACATCACTTTGGATTAGAGCAGAGATGGAGCAAGCTGTATGTTAAGAAACCCCTCTCTTTCTTGTAAGAATGGAAGAAGTCTTGAACTATGGAGACCATCAGCACAAATTGCTTGGCAGATCTCTGTTCAGACACTGGGGGATAGACCCTTTTTGGTGGTCAGGTTACAGAATGCACAGGGATTGATAGAGATGGGACCAATGAAGGATCCAACACCTGGGCCCCATTTTCAATCCCCTCCCCCCCCACCATCACCCACTGACCAATACCGCAGTACCTGCAGCTGCTCTTGTTCCTTTTGCAACATCTTTCTCAAAATCTCCACTTTCTGGTTGTGAACAATATTGTTCTCCTCCTGGGGAAAAAGGGAAGAGACAGGGAGAGAATCGAGTTAAGGCACCTGGAAGAAAAAATACAGACATGCTCATTTACCCTCTATTCTGCCCGAGGTCTCGACAAAACTTTCCAGAATGCTTAACGCTTCCGTTAACACTATTCTACATGATCTATCTCCACCCACTTTTATGGCTGAGCATAACTGTCATGACTTTCGTTTTAAATGAGTGACCAGAAGCACTTACTCATTTCCTCTTCGTTGCTATATGCCTGTGCTCCTTGCTATTTGCATGCTAATAGAAATGATGGCCTGGTGGATGCAGGCAGAAGCAGAAATTATGCCCTTACATCATGCACTTCTACTAATGCAGCTGTACAGGGCTCCCTCGATAATGTAGCCCTGCTGCCTCCACGTGAGTCCAAAGGAACACCATGCTTAGTTGTATGAGGCTTCTTTCACGTGGACAAGCAAGGGCTTACTTGCAACAGTCCGTTTCATTTGTTGCTTGATCCAGAATTGAAAGAGAGACCTCCCCTGAGATGAAACATTAATGCATTTTTTTTACTGCACAAGCATGGTTGCAGACTGCCCTCAGACTCTTACCCCCATTAATACCGGGTTGGTAATCCTTTCTGCATTTCCAGACGTGCCAGGCGAATGGGGAGAGGTCATGATGGGTGACATATGCCCGAATGCTGCCGGATCCACTTCGGAATCAGCTAACGGAATCTGGGGCGACCCTGGTGGGCGCCCCTGCACAGTGAGAGCTACATAGGAACCCGCTGTGGGAGGAGGACAAGAGCAATTCATGTTTCAGACACATTTACATTCCACTCCTTGTGGCGCTTGCTGTCCCCCCAGACACGAGGAGCAGGCCAGCCTCTGTCAGGGTGGCAATTACAGACACCGATGGCAGCAGGGTAGAGTTGCACCTTGGAGACTAACTAACTCCTCTCACACCAGAGTCTGCATGCAGCTGATCTGTGGAGGACACATGGAGCAGGCAGAATGGTTCTCCCCCAACCCCAAGGAGTCTTCATCACAGCGGGCACAGCCCTGCACCCAATATGCATTTAACTGCGGGAAAGCAAACACCAGGAGCAGGTTCCAGGGAGCCCAGTCAAGGGGCTGCTGCCAACAAAGCCAAGCTGACATTGTCAGAGCAGCAGGAGGAATATACCTGGGAAGGAAAGGCTTCCCATCCCCTTCCGTAACCACCCAACCCCGTCCCCCCCATCTACAGTGATAAGCATACCCC